TACTTGGTGAATATTCTTGAACATTACATATGTTCTCTTGCAGTTTTGAAAAAAGATGACAAAATAAATATTTCAAAGATCAATGATATTAGAATGATGGAAACTTATTCACATATATTTTACTGAATATAATCTGTTGCAGTGTCAACTAATTCGATTCTTACGAATATAAAAGTAAAATGGTATCAAACATTAGTTTGGACATTTTTATAGCAATTAAAAAATTACTCCTTGTAACCTTCTTGAATGACTGTTTACATAACAATATGTAACGACATTCACAAAATTTCATAAAAGCAATTTTGGGGAAAAAAAGTCTTATTGGATTGTAAGTATGATTTATTTTATCACCTTGCTCTTTGTTGACTTAAATGTGGTTGGCTTCAGCAGTTGTTTAAAATTTCTGACCAGTTGAAAAATTTGGTTTGATAAAAGAAATTGCCATTGGGTCAGAATTTTCCATGAACTGCAATGATGGAGTGTAACACTTACAGTCATGTCACAGTAATAAAGAAAGTGTTTATTTGCTATGGTTCCGGTTGAAGTAAGTCGCAGTTTATTATTACGGTAGTTATGCGTCTTTCATAATGTCATAATGTTAATCACATGATTATTTGGAACAATTTTTAATAAACAAAATGGCGATACATTTTAACATATGGAATGCAGCTATCAGTGCTACTAGAACAATTATCTCTAATGTTCATCATTATGTGTTATACCATGGAATGATTTAATCGTCTTTGGGAGACATGTATTTCAAGTAACTGTTCACACACTGTTTCCGACATACGTCGAATGTTTTAACTACTTGTAGAACATTTGGCATTGCATTGACTCATGATTGTCATGATATTCGGGTCTGTTTACAGTTTATTTCAAAATATATAATCTCTAAAATATTTATTTCATGAATTTTGATAGCAATATGGTGTATACCTGCTATTTTGACATTTTTAAAATACATATTTCTTATATTCATTCAAACAAAGAACAATAGTATTTATATATTATTGGGTAATGAGTTATGGTGATTGTTTTTTAAACTGCGTTTTAAACTTAACAAACAAGTTATTTGCAGTAATATAGATGCAAACAGTTCAACTCTAGAGAATGTGTTATGAAAAATAGCCTTTTTTAAGCAAAACGATCCGGTATTGCATGGAATAACATAGTATGGAATAATTTGTATAGAAATACATTTTTTTATTAATAAAAAGGAATTGCTAAATATAAATTAAGTATTGAAGGAAATGAAAACAACGCTAAATAAATTGAATGTGTCTGAAGCGCTTTTCTGTTCTGGATTTAACGTCATCAGAAACGCTCAAATCTAATCATTTGAAAGCCGGCTGTTTACATACATAGAAACACTTGGAGCTTTATGACAAAAAAAAAACTGCCTGGAAGTTTATATTTTGTTCTTGTGTTGTACTGTTACACACCTTTGAAAATTTTACAGATACCATCACGAGCTGGTCGTTAAAGAATATCTGTTTCACAAATGACAACGGATATGTTCCAATTGTCGTAACCACAATCCACTTCTCTTCTTCTTGAATGTAATCTACCGAATTTGACTTATCACTAGTGCTTTACTTAAATGAACAAAAAGTACAATAACAAAAATACCGAACTCCAAGGGAAATTCAAAACAGAAAGTCCTTTATAAAAACTGTTAACACAGAGATATATCTCGCCTATTTGTTATTTTGATAATGCAAATGTTGAAATTAAAATAACAATACTTTAACATGTAAATTATGCAAATATTCCAAGTCAATGAACCATGACTACAGGTACAGGGCTAAACAATATCCATGGAAATGAGATGTGCCAATGCTAATACAACTGTACACCAAATACCATTGACTTTTCATAAGTCGTTCCCTTTAAAGAAACATAAACACAAACATTAACTTGTAAACTAAGCAAAAGTTTCGAAGTCAATATACCATGACTGAAGGGGCGGGGCTAAATAATCTTCATGGAAATGAGATATGCCAATGCTTATACAACTGCATATTAAATATCATTGACCTACCATTAGCGGTTCCCCATAAACTGACATAATCACAAACTAATACATGAAGTATAAGCAAAAGTTTCAAAGTCAATAGACCATGTCTGAAGGGACGGGGCCAAAAAATCTTGATGGAAATGAGATATGCCAATGCTTATACAACTGCATACCAAATATCATTGACCTACCACTAGTGGTTCCCCATAAACTGACCTAATCACAAACTAATACATGAAAACTAAGCAAAGTTTCGAAGTCAATAAACCATGACTGAGGGGGCGGGGCCATATAATTTTCATTGTAATGAGATGTGCCAATGCTAATTCAACTTCATACCAAATATCAGTGACCTACCACTAGTGGTTCTCTATAAACTAGACCTAATCACCAACTAATACATTGTTGACGCCGACGCCGACGACAGAAACAGCATACCTATGTCTCGCTTTTTGACTCCGTCAAGGCGAGACAAAATTTGCAAGATCAAAAGCTCAAACAAATCTAACGAATGGAAAACAACTGTCATATTCCTGACTTGGTACAGGCATTTCCTTATATAGAAAATGGTGGATTAGACCTGGTTTTATAGCTAGCTAAACCTCTCATGCACTTGTATGACAGTCGCATTGAATTACAATATATATACAACACAGCAAAACAGACATAATAGGTAAAAACATAAAAATTGGGGTACAGCAGTCAACATTGTAATATAATCTTAATCACTATAAAAACATATATCAAGCAACACGACGGGTGCCACAAGTGGGGAAGGATCTGCCTACCCTTTAGGAGCACCTGCTATCACTCATAGTTTTGTTTAAAAGAGTATCGTTTTGCTTTTGTTTTAACTGTAGTGTGTGTGCTTTCAATTTTTCAATGTCTGTGTGGTGTATACCGGTAACAGTCTTGTCTATCCTTTGTCAAGAAAATCGTGTTTCAATTGCACATTTTAAAAATAGGTCAAGTTTCAGGGTTGGGAACAAATATGATAAAAATACCGAACGCCAAGGCAAATTCAAAAGGGGAACATTTACTTGATCGATATTCTATTACTTTAGGGATATCTCAGGGTAAGATAACAGTCAATTACTAATCCGCTATTGTGTGATGTCTAATCACTTAATATAACTTACCAACGTTTGTTATAGGAGGAACACGACGAGTTTGAATGTAGAGCTGAATCTGCTTAACCTTCCATAGCACCTGACGAATCACATCCGGTTTTTGATGGGGTTCCTGTTAATTAGTCTTTAGTTTTCTATGTTCAGTTTTGTGAACTGTTGATTCTCTTTTGGTCGTTTTTCTTTTTTGCCGTGCCACTGTCAGTTTGTTTTCGATTTATAAGTTTGAATATCTACCCCTTTTATATCTTTCGTCTCTTTTTTACGCCACTGTCCTAGGTAAGGGGGGTTGATTGGCGCCAGTAAATGTATTTTACACTGTCACTTTCTGTATGTTCCAAGTTAGGTGGTTGTTGTTTTGTTGCTATGTCATATTTGTTTATCTTTTTTTTTGTACAAGAATCCGGCCATTGATTTTCATTTGTCATACCATGTCCTATTATAGCCTGCTGTGCATTGTGGGGTCTGCTCATTGTTGAAGGCTACATGTTACTTTTGTTTCTAATGGAAAGTTGTCTCATAGGCAATTTTACCACACCTAATTTTATGATATTACAAATTTGATGCGTACGAATCGCTTTTCTGGATTACCTTCAACGGGAACACTCAAAGCCAAACATTTGTAAGCCAAGGATGTATAAGAACCTTAACCAAAAAGGACCTAAAAATAATACCAAAATCCAACTAAGGTCAACTCTACTTGAGGGTGTTGAAACCATAGTTTCTAAATAATTCATAAATGTTATCAATGCCAGGAATAAAACAAGAGGCGAAAGATACCAAAGGAACATTCAAACACATAAGTAGAGAATAAACTAACAACCCCATGGCAAAAAACAGACAAATAATAGTATACAAAATACTCCATAGAAACCTTAAAACTGAGCAACACGAAACCTGCAGCAAAACATTAAATTTTGAGTTAACATTTATAACATGTTGATAACATATCACTTGAATGCAGTTTCATGTTACATAGATCCAAAGTATTATCAATGGCAAAAATAAATTATAATGCTGTAGTCAGTATTTTGTTATTCGAATGGTTACAAACTATCTGAATTTATTTCTTACTCGCAGTGTAAACTGTTAGTGAGTTTAAATCTTTTGCAATTTCGTATTATCATGATTATTGCTTTTCAAATAAGATTTTGCATTATTTTGTTAAATACTCATCAAAATCATGGAAATATCATTATTTAGGACTTCAGGTGCCTGTTAAAAGACACTTTAACTTGTCAGTTTGATTTAGACTTTAAAATGTGAATAATCCTTTAGTATCTCTCACCTCTCTTTTGATATGATAGATAAATTTATTCATACATTTTGTACAGTTTAGCTTCAACTCTAAATAATTAAAGAAATGAGAAATTATGTAATATGACTTTTAAAAGTTGTCATTTTATAGGTTTCCAAAATGGTTATAGAAATAGCTTTCCAAACAGTTTGTCATCATAAACAAATATTTTATCAGCTATTTCTATTACAGTTTTAAAAAACTAAAAAAAAATGATAACCTAAATGTGTCACATTACATAACTTGTCATTACTTTAATTATCTAGAGTAGATACGTCATAAGTCCAACAACAAATTAAAAGCATATTCAGGACGAGAACATGTTAATGTAATATAATTATTAACCCTGCTTTGTACTAGGTCAACAGCTGAGCCAGATTTTTAACATGCTAGTTCACAAGGTAACAATCAGCAGGAAGATATGTCCACCTACCACGACACATTATTCTGACTCAGAACTGACCAGTCTTCGCTCTTACTCCTCCATGCCTTCAGATTAGAATACAGATGTAACACCTTCAGCAACATTCTCCAAAAGCAAGACAATAAAACGGAATTAAAAGAGAAGACCAGCTTCAGTTTATTAATTTAACTTGTATAAAATTGTTAATATAAATATATATATATTTAAAAATAACACTTACATTAAACAAAAAAAATTTGAAGACAGCATGAAATACAAAAGTACTGTTAACATCACAAGTGATCCTGCACTAAATTATTACTTGCTAACTTTTGGTTAGTATAAATGTTTAGCTTTACACTACAATTTGATTGTTTATCATAAAAATAGATATACACTTAAATGAATTAATACATTTACAAATTTCAAATAACAGGTATAAAGATGGTCTAAGACATTCATTTTGTAAGTAATAGAAAAAAATATATACACAGAATATACTAAAGTTTCAAAATTATATTTGAAATGCATGTTCCATACAAGTGAGTGTAGGAAAAGCTTAACATGTAATGAGAAAAAAGTCTTTTTATTATGCTGCTAACTTAAACAAAAAATTAAATTATTCAACCTTCATGTAACTGCAATGAATTCTAAACAATTAGAAAGTCATTTTATATCTTAACTTCTTTCCTCACATACATATCATGGACACATGTTTTTGGTCCTGTTGTACTTTCACTATACAAACTGCAATGCTCTCCATTTAGTATTGTATATGTTCGTGCACAGATTACATATAAACAAAATTAATTTATGTGACACAAAGGAACACGGCAATGATTAGAACACACCGAAAGATCACAAGGCGAAACTTGTAGCAGTAGACCAAATCAGTACTTGTACTACAGGGAGAGTTTGAACAGAAAATGAAACGTTAAATAACGTGACACTGTATTATAAACTGTGATTTTTAAAAGTTTTAATTTTAATGATGGACTTTAAAGTTAATTTCATATTTATTATTTTAACAGAGAGACTTCAATTCTTTTAGAAGTTGTATATTTTCACTATTCATGGGCCGTAGAATGTTGGAAATCACGCACAGAAGAATACGTTACCGTAACGCAGTTTTATTGTATATCTTAGGTTGTTTACTAATGACGTTATCTTGTACTTCAGTCATCAATACAAATTCATTCAGTTTAGACATCTTTATTATTATACATGCAGTTTTAGTAAAGCCACTTTACGATAGATAGGTATTACCACAATAGGATCTTGATTTTTTTTTTTTTTTTAAAAGCACTTCGGACAAATGAAACTTGTGAAGTGTAATATTATTTTTTTTATCTTTAAAGAAAGTAATATAAAAAAGCAATCTTCTAAAACATTTTCCCCTGCAGGAGATTTCCCTATTTGGACTTTCAAAAGATAGATACCTAAGGATAAAAGGTATGATAGTAAAATACAAGAAAATGCAGTCCTGTAACGTACCTGTTATCTTTAAGATAATTATGATAACAAGTAAAAACATAAAAAATCTTAAAATTGCAGGTTAACAAAATTTTTTGATCACAGAAATGCTTTCAGTCAATAATTGCTTCACCAAAGGAATGCTGCTTTAATTTTCTTCTTGTAATCTTCAACCTTATCAATAAGTTTTGCTGATTCTAATTTGGTATGCTGCATTCTGGCCCTGTTCTGCACAATAATGTCAGATATTTTATTGACTTCATCCTTTGCCCTGGGTATACCATTGAACAACTCTACCTCTTCCCAGGAAGATTCACAAAGGGTAGATAACTCTGCATCTTGATCCTTCAGTTTAGAAATCATTGCGGGACATTCTTTCAGAATAGCTTTACATACAACTGCAAACTGAAACACATAGATGAATGCTATATTAGACTTGGCTCTTATCTATACAATAACTTTAAAATTGTTTAATTAAATTAGCCTTCAATGGGTAAAATAACTGGGTCCTTTTCAAGATATTTCAGGTATAATCTCGGCGGTTCAGATAAAGATATAAAAATCAGAATTGGCAAAGCTAGAACTGCGTTTAATATGATGAGATCAATTTGGAAAGCAAGAAACATCACTCTCAGGACCAAAATACGCTTGTTCAACTCAAATGTAAAAACTATACTCTTATATGGAGCTGAGACTTGGAAAACAACAAAAAACCTGCTTCAAAAACTTCAAGTCTTCATCAATAACTGTCTAAGGCACATCCTTAACATCAGATGGCCTGAGAAGATATCAAACCAAGATCTGTGGGAAAAGACCAACCAATCCCCCGTTGAGGAAGAGTTGAAAAAGAGAAAGTGGCGATAGATAGGGCACACACTGAGGAAGCCAAAGAACAACATTACAAGGCAAGCCTTACAGTGGAACCCACAAGGAAAACGTAGCAGGGGCAGACCAAGATACACATGGAGAAGGAACGTTGCAGCAGAGATGGAGAAAGAAGGGTACAAGTGTCATGATCTGGAGAGGCTAGCAAAAAACAGAACAAGGTGGAGAAATATCTTTAGTGGCCTATGCTCCACCAAGGAGCAACAGGATTAAGCAAGTAAGCAATTAAATTAGCCTTCAATGGGTAAAATAACTGGGTCGTTTTCAAGATATTTCAGGTATAAACATTATCAAAAGTACTTGTTTGCTCTTGGACTATTACATTATGTATTGGTGGTCCCAGGTTTACTGCATTAAATTAAAAAAGCATATTTCAAGTTCTGACTCATGAACATTAACTAATGATTTTTTACATAAATAGAAAAAATATAGATTTTTATCTTTTGCAAACTGTCACAATATTGATGAGAAAAAGATTTGATATCATAAGGCATTGCAGAGTCAATTCAATCATTTCGACATGAAGAAGGACATCTATCCTATATTTTATTGATGCATTTTGTCCAGATTTGATATATCTGATTCCCACAAAGTTTCACATCAGTAAAATGTGTTCAAAATAAACACAAAGCATGTAAACAAGTCAATTTTTAAAAGACATGCCAATGTAATTAGTTTTGAAAGTGATTCTAATATATATAATTTATATGTGTACTATGTGGTTGGTCAATTGGAAGTTGGTTATTTAACTCCAATTGTAAGAAATACTTAATTATTTTTAACATATTTATTATGTATTTTATTTGAATTGCTGTATTAAGAAGTTACTATGTTAAATTTCTTCACAAAAGAGAAAACCTTTATCATATTTCATAGTAAAACTTTTCAATTTCGATTTTGTGCTATATAGTTTTGTGGACTATGTGGTTGATCAATTGGATGTTTGTTGTGTTACATCAGATTGTTGTAGGTATAAACTATTTTAGACATTTTTAATCTGGCAATTGAATTGTGAATTGATGAGAAAACTCAATAGTATATCACTTATGTATATCTATTATATTTCATAGTAAAACTATTCAATTCTAAGAAACATATGGCAAGTCATATGAAATGATTTTCTTTTAATTTAAATGTTATCGAAATTAATGAACCAATGCATGCATATATACTAAACAAAGTCCTGTAAAGCATGTTTTTTATATTAATTACTAATCTATAACATATTATCATCAAATAATATTTCATTCAGTGATTGTTGATTGCAAACAAATTAACTTTTGAGTTTGTTGCCAAAGTTAACTGATTGAGACATTGATTAACAATCAACACAGAGCATGTGGAGCACATGACAAATAAGTGAATTGATAGAGCCATGATATTTTTTTTTATATTTCTTCAATGCGTTCCCATTTGTTAATCAAACTTTTCCTAAACAGCTGTGCGGTGGCCGAAGTTCTAACGAGAGGTCTCGTAGTTAAGGTCACTGCATACTGGAAAATATCGGTGAATTAGTGTACGGAAGACAATAATTCAATAGCAGTACATTTATGAAGATTTTGATAATTTAAAGAATTTTCTTTTACAAGAAAGTTCATGTACACTTGTTTTAAAGTGACGCTTAGCCATTCAAGTATATAAAACATATTAAACTTTTTTTTTTAAATTTGAAGTTTCATATGACTTGAGAGCCAGAATGATTTGATGGATTTGACAGGTAAACTTCAGCTAAAGCTAGTTTTCACAAGTCAATAATTGAAAAAATCAAAATCACCTAGTATTTCAGTAAGCTAGCGTTTGAACAAATCTGAAGAAACCAAGTTTTTTTTATCTTATAACCTGATATGTACATACTTTGTTATTATTGTTTTGTTTTTTCAGAATTAATGTGTCTTTAGTTCTTTAGTTTCATTTATAAGTAATTACCTCATTCTGATAAATTTTCAAAAGTATTCTGATGTATCTCTCTGGTTTAAATTCTGGATCCTTGGAGGTCACATCTAACTTACAAAAATCATCATCTTTTTTAACCTGAAATATTATTGTGCAACAATCATTGTTATTGAATTGTTAATTAAACATGTATCTTACAAAATCACATGGTATGTCAAAAATATATAAAAACAATCACACGATCCAAAAGTTTAGTTTTTATATATCATTCTATTTAATAAAAAAAAAAGAAACATGTCACCATATTAACTTGTTAACAAGCTACAAGTAGGGAAAATTTCTAATATCTTGAAAAGATAATTAAACAGGGGAAAAGCATTTTTGTCTGTCTAGAAAGAAAATTGAATAACAGCATCATGCAATTACTTAAAGTGATAGCTCTTATTATATGCCTTTAGTAAATATAAAAGAAGAATGTGTCTTCGGATATGAATGCCCCTGCTCAAGCTTGGCAATTTCCAAGTTATAACTCACTGTCCAAATTTGAACTCTGTCTTCGAGTTTTGGTTTTTAGCATTGTGTATTAGTTTCATAAAATTTGGATGAGGAAAACTTAAGTTAGAGTGCGGAAACAAAAATGAGATGGAAGGACGGAAGGTCACGGGTAATACAACTAGCGACGGGGGCATAAAAAATTGGGTTTACTTAGTTCTGAGCCTTACTATCAAAACACATATCAGTTATTGTTTTGAATGTGAGAGAGCTGTCTATTGTTCTATTGGTCTCTGATTGAGAGTTGTCTCTTTGGCAATTATACCACATCTTCTTATTTTCATATTTATAAACATGTAATTTCTTTTGCCATTTAAATATTTAATACGTCTTGCAAAAAAATTCTGAAATATCAGTTACCTTTAATTTAGCCTGCTCCCCAATGTTCCTCCTCAGTGCTATCATACAATCCTCCAAACTGGCAACATCGTCTTCTCCTAGTATTCCAGCATTTATACAAGATTCTCTCAATTTCTCCAAACTTTTGTTGTGGTAGTCATTTAGCATTTTCACTTTCTTCACCGAGATTTCAGCTACTTTAAATATGCTATCAAACTGAAACATAACATACAAATCAGAAGTCTACATGTAAAATACTTGTGTCCTGTCAGTTGTTTTACTATTGTTTCATACGTAAAAATAACAGTAAAAAAAGAAACAGTGAGCAGTTTCTAATTTATCTAATATAAAAGAGAGGCAAAAAATACCAAAGGGACATTGAAACTCATAAGTTGAAAAATAAACTGACAATGCCAGGCCTAGGGTAGAAATGAAGAAAGACCAAAACACAAACAACAGTATGCAAAACACGTCACAGATAACTAAAGAATGAGCATCACAGTACTTACAATTTCTATTCCTGTCATGTCAAGTCCATCATACTCCTCAATCTTATTTTTAGCTTTAACCTTCTTTGTTTCTTTAGGTTTCCATTTGTTGATGCCATACTTTGTCTGTAAGACATGTCTGAGTAAAAACTGAATTCCTTCTGCTACAGTTCCATCAGAATCCCTGGCAGAAGCAGTCACGCTGAATAAAAAAGAATGTAAAAAAAGTCAGCTTGAAGTCTACCTGAAACTTTGGGTTACAACGTAGAATCAGTTTTGCTAATCATTGAAGGCTAAAAGGTGTTCTGAAGTTGTTTACATCCTTGTTATTTTTTCTATGTTGGGTAGCTTTCTCTTTGGTAATCATACACACATTTCTTAATTTTGATATATATGTTGACAATTAATTTTATGGGTTTTTTTCCTCTAAATCTTCATTACAATGCTTGGATGATATAAATATTATACCTTCCATAAAAATTTCCCTTTTGTTTTATTTTGTCCATAAGTCTAACACATTCTGGTTTGTCTTCCTCGGTTATATTCCAGATTGTTTTGGCTCCTGTCTCGTCTTTTTCTGAAAAATAAATTTCAAATGAAACAGAACAGGTCTCTGATTTTTATTATCATTGCAAAACAACAGTAAACTTTATGGTGCTTATTTACTACTTGGTAAATTCTTTAAAAACTATATACACTGAAACATAGATTTTAAGCTAAGGAGAAATCGAATAAAATATTATACAATTACACAAATGTATAGCCTTTGTATGAGGTCAATACAAGGATATATTGACCTGAGAGAAGTATATGGACTGATATACTTCTTTGCGTCGATATATCCTGTATTGACCTCATACACAGACTATCATTAAATTTATATATTATTAATTTCCGACCATATTTGTATCAAAATCGTCAGTGCAATATATTCTCTTTTTTCGATCATTTAATTTTATATTAGTTGTTATTTCAATTATTTCTTATGTGGTTTTTTTTTGTACATCTTATGTATTTGACGATTTTTTTTTTCAAATAAACATTCATAAATATACACTTTTAAAAAACTTTTAACAATATCATGAAATTCATTAGATGACTTCACAAAGTATATCGGTTTTTAGATATTCTAAAAATAACCGTGCAATATGCCTTTTGCTATCCGCCGTTTTCTATCTACCTTCTAAAATATAGTTTAACATGTGACTATCACTGAACTAATCAAATTAGTTAAAATATATGAATTAATAATATCATATGGTGTATATGTCATTTAACACACAAAGAAGACAATTAAGTCATTGACAGAGCATATTTTTCATTGGATTAATAAGAAACATGCTATTTATAACATAACTTTACAGTATTTTTTTACATTGAAGTTTAGAATTTAAATATACAAATTTATACACTTTGGGCTTTCCAAACATTGAACTCTGATTATCGGTGCCGCCTTATGGAGGTTAATGTAAAAAAAAAGGTTGAAACATGTAGCAAGATTTAGTATGTTTCACTTGAATATAAAATTATATCTCTTACCTGTTCAAAAATCTGGAAGGTTAGTATTGAAAAATTATGAATATACTGAGGGGGCATCAAAAACTATAAGTCTAAGAAAGACACCATTGACAAAACAAAAAGACAAACAACTGTCCATAAGTCACTACATATAAACTAAAGATTCAGCTCCACAAACTCTACCTATACCTAAGGTGAACTCTGGCACTTTAGAAGTGTAAACAGTTTCTGCTCCACTAGTCATAAAACTTTTGAGTACAATTATTACACTACGACTTTGAAATCAACCAATCAAAATACTGGATATGGTGTTTCCACTATAAATATTGTACTGAGTACTGAGCTTAGTTTTATGACTGAAAGCCCAGTAGTATTGCTTATGAAATGACAAGCTAAAACAGAGTGACAAGTCAAATTCAGCGATTTTATAAACAAATAAAAGAGGGCAGGATTGTGGCTACAAATAATGGACAATATCTGTGGTCATCTGTGACATACTTATGATATAGGTGATTTTTCAAAGTAATCAGTGGTTTGACAACACAAAGAGATTGCTTTAAGGTCTTGTTTTTCACTGCTAACAAAGATATTTGAGTGCATTTCAATATGATCATGATGATATGCGATACAAATAAATAATTACCACTAGCTTTCATTTGTCTTAGTTTCTCCTTATAACCATCTTCCTCCACCTGAAAAAAGTATAAATTAAAATCACTAATTACTGTACTAGTTTTGTGTAATAATTTCATGCCTTTATTTCAGAATATTTTCTTTACTTTATAATTCTTAAAGACTGTTAGTGACCATTTATTTATAAGGAAGATGTGTGAAACAGAAAAGTGGTAAATACTGCTTCAATTAACATTGTCCATCCATAGGCAAAAATCTAATATACATTGGTTTGGTTATTTCTTAATTTGTTTTATGTTATAAAAGTTGTTATATATTTATCAGTGGAAGGTAACCAAACATTATTGAATTCTCACTACCAGAACTTCATTCATCATGTTAAATATTACTTAGGATTTATTGAAATTTATAGCACATTATTACCAGATCAAATTTGTTGCCTAGCAACAGAACAGGAAATGTTTCTGGATCAACTGGTTTTTTCTCCATAGTTGTGGTTTCAATTTTGCCTCCTTCTGAGCTTTCAACAACAGGGAATGTTTCAAAGGTATTGTTGACAACAATCCTCTTCCATACAGGGGCCATCTCAATACTGTCAGAATCATTGATATCAACAATCACTGCAAATAAAAAGTGTAAAAATTTTTACTGTGCAGGCCATATATGATTACACGTACATGTAAAACAAGCTCCCTGAAAAATTGGAATGTCTGGCAGTAGGATGAAAAAAAAAATACATTACTTCATTTACCAATGAAAATAACATATTATGTGCACTTATGAGAGTCTAACATACAAAAACAATATATAAATTACAGGGTCAATTCTTATTTACACATAGCATAGCTGAGAGGGTGATAGAGCAGATTATTTACTGAGAAAACATTGTCAACTGAGGCGAAGCCTAGATTGACAATGTTTTTCAAGGGGTAATAATCTGCTCTATCACCCTCTCAGCTATGTGTTATTTAATTTATTATACTGAATGTTCTGTCATTATTGTCTTTTGAATTATAAATTAAAAGTAATTAACTATGACTTCACCATGGTTATGTTCTTAACAATGTTACAGTTATTAGAAAAACAACAAACGTGAAGCAAGATGTATTATGTAAGTCTGAGGCCAAAACATAGAACTTGAACATTTTCTTTAAAATCATTGTTTTATTTCAATTCATTGTCCTTTATATTGCCGATTCTTTATTGGTCTGCACAAGAGGGTGACATTCAAAAAATTATCTCCGGCTGAGCTGCAGGATAGAGTAAATTGTCTCTATCATATTAACCAATCAAAATCTGGCATTTTAACATGAAGTATGTGGCAAGGCCAGGTATCTATGTTCTTTACTATACCAATCAAAATGACAACATAGAATTGTAACTTGATTGGTATCAACGTTTTTCAAGAGGCCATAATTAAATGAAATGCATTAGGTGACAATATTATATGACTTTTGTGTAAATATGTTTATCAAAATATCAAAAGAGTGATATAAATATAGACGAGGTAAATGGTATGCAGTCAAACAGACAATTTATATTTTATGAATGTAATAAACAAACCTGTCAAAACAAGGAATCATTTGAAACCTGGAATAATTTTGAATTCTGGAAAATTGATAAAAATGTATGATGAAAACTAACCCAACTTTAAGGAGTTCAAGTTATATATTTACTTTCACTGATGTTTCAGTATGAACTAACTAACTACCCTCCTGAATTGGGTTAGTTTTCAGCATACATTTCTTATAAATTTTCCAGATTCAATTAATTCCTTGTTTTAATATTTCTTTCATATTTCTAGCTATTTAACACACCAAAATGCCAACATAAAATTGTAGTTTGGGGGATATCATGATTTTAAGTAGTAATAACATGGATGAAATATAATACCTTTAACTAAAACAAACATGTAACATATACTCACCTTTACAAACAAGAGATAAATTGCTGTTGTACCTAATGCTTGTATTATTTTACGGAATTTATTTAGCTAAACCCAAATCTATAATTATATTTAAAGCATATCAGAAGTCTTTATACAAGATTTCCCGTTTCTTTGCCCATACATTTAACACTCAAATTTATTGTTCTAATTCCAAAAAGCAAGGTCTCTTATTTCACATAACATGATTACCAATCTAATTAAAATTAAGTCCATTAATTGCTCTCATTCTGATATGTCACGCATCATGATGCAGGACATATCAGAACAGGAGCAATTAAAGGATTTAATTTTAATTAGATTGCATTATAACATACCAACAGCAGCATCTAAGTTTTTGAAGTATGTACTATACAGGTCTATGTCTTCCTGTCCTGGGATATCCCATACTGTCAATGCTACCACTGAATGGCCTGGGATATTTATCTTACGAACTGAACTCTCTGAAAAATACTTCTTAAGTTAATGTTTAAACAGTCAGTCCCTGCAAAGTTGTCCTGAGTTGGAAATGTGAATATTGGCATGAATCAAAACAAAACAAAGAAACTTTTAAAAGCATTTTGTTAAATGTTGACTTAGGTGTTTTTGAAGGGTAGTGAAACATTAATCAATAATATATGATCAAGGAAGAACAGTGATAAAGCAATAAGAAATGCAAGTTTTGGAAGATACATGCAATTTCAATAAAGATAAACATTAAAAAATGAATTTGTCAGACTTTTCAGATTTTATACAAAGAAATTCTTGAATAAAAACATATTTTGTTTATATCCAAAGAGACAGCATCTCAGCGACACAAAGGACGTTATCTAAATGTAGGTATTTTTTTATGTAACTTATAGTTGTCTCACTGCCCGTCAATCAATAGTTTTTACTACCACATCCCCTTATTTTCATATGTAACATAAATTCTAAGTGATGCAATACATACATATAGAAACTGGATTAACTTCAATACAATAAGTCAGGCTAACTGGACGGTTTGAAGTTCCTTGTTGTTTGTATATTTTTTAAAAGGAGGAGTCGATTGTTGTTGTGGTCTGTTGTACTGTTTAATATCTTTTGTGAGTTCTGTTATCCTCCTTATGTATTATTATGAAATGAGTGTGTAGTTGTTGGATTGCTGTCTCATTGAATCCTCCCACATCAATAAATCTTTAGTATTATATATACCCATCAGATTTATAAATATATGGTCAATACATTAACTGATACCATGAACAAAACAGATGGAAGTGTTTTTCATTGGTTATCATATATGTTAACAGTGATATTTTCTTTGTGTATAACACTTGCCTGTGGGTAACATATACCAAGCACTATTTTACTTTTCAAATCAAATAAAAATTTATAAACTTACCAATTACAGGTTTCTTAGTAGGTATGTACATTGGACTAAACTGATTCTTCATGTATCTTGAAACAACACAGGACTTCCCCACCTGTCTATCTCCTAAATAAAAAGAACAACAATTATGTGGTTGATTTTAATGATAGATACATACATGTATATCTGTATGTAGCCTTTCCTAAAATTGCAATAAATAATCTCAAATTTTTATTGATTCTTCAAAAATCGCAATACATTTTTGTAATAAATACACACAGTATTTTCTTAATTAAAAAAAATTAGAGTATTTGATTGTTTCCAGTTTCAAACATTTTCTAACAGTTTCATTATAATGTACTCAGTATTCTAAACACTTTTACTGAAATAATAATAAAGTCAGAAGTTAACAGTTGATAAAACAGAGGGCCTTAAATAAGTATGAGGTTCAAGTACATAATTTTTTTACTCAATATTTAATTTAATGTATGAATTTTTATTGATCTGATAAATTATTTGTGACCTATTGCATTTGTTGATCATAAATCGCACATGTACACTTCAATAAATTCTAATGGGTGATGTAAATTGATAAGAGCTATTATTTGGTTATAAAATTGCAAAAACAGTAAAAATTCATTTTTTTATCAAAATTATATTATTATTTTTTTATTAATGAACATTATATGGTCTCTGTAGTCATGTTAGAGTAAAATTGTCACAAATTTGTTATTTTACAATTGCTATATTTCCCGTGTTACATATTGCATATTCTGTAATATTATATCTTTCCAGAGAAGAATGTACCTGGGGCTGAGGCCGCTCTTTTCACAAAAAATCTTGCGACTAAAATTGATCGTGAATTTATACAAGTGTTTTTATTCGTAAATTTTTTTAAAGTTTTTTACAGCAATGGAAAGATCCCAAAATGACGGTCTTTGTAGTGTTTCCTTAAGGTCAAGGAACAGTAAATGGGCTATGTCACAGATTTTGGTAAAATTTTGTATAAACTTTGGATCTATGAACTATAACTGAAAATCGAAAAAATAATGTATTTATCTCTTTTTATCGTCTGAAATAACACTGATTAATTTTTTTCAAAATAGATGAACATTTGTATAGAAATCACATAAAATATTATAAGCGAAAAACGCTCTTAAATACATGTCTTTAAATCATCAAATCTCCAATATCAAGTACATAGATTTTTCTTAATAAACTATATGTTGTTGATTTATTAATATCCGTTTTAATGATATTAAATAATAATAGGGTCACCAACTTAGATTTTGGTGTATTAACCAATCTGTTACCTAGTTGGTAGTGAAAAACGTCAAAAATCAACGTTATACGGACAACAAAATGACGACATTACACTTATTTCAACGTTTTTGTGGTATTTTTTCACCTAGATTACTACTTTGTATAATGTATACCATAAAAGTCGGTGACCCCATTATTATTTTACATCATTAAAATGGAAATTTATGTACCAACTACATAAAGTTTTTTTTTTTTAGAAAAATCTATGAATTTGAATTTGGAGATTTGATGATTCTAAGAAAAATTTAAGAATGTTTTTCGTCGATATTTCGTGCTTTCTATACAAATATTCAACTATTTTGAAAGAATTCAATCAGTAATATTGCAGAAAATTATTTTTTCGATTTTCAATTAAAGTTCAAAGAGCTAAAGATGTATGCAAAATTTTACCAAAATCTGTGACATAGCCCATTTACTGTAACTTGACCTTAAATGTTAGAGGTGTGAGGACCTTAAAGTTAACCAATAGTTACAATATTAATGAAATACAAAATGTATATTATTACTAATACATGTACATGAAAAACTCAAGTCATGTGAATGTCTAAAGAAAGTATTTGGTAGGTTTATAACACTATGATTTTTATGGAGCAAAAAAGTGACCTTCAAATCTTTTCTGTAACCTAATACATGTATAATATCATAAGACTTACCAACTACAGCAATTTTTAACTTTGGAACATCACCAATTCCTCCTAAATGAAATAAACATATAAACGGATATAAAAAAAGATCCAGTAACATTTGGTCTTACCTTTTTATTGAATGATCAACATGATTAAGTACATATATTAAAAAAGAACTATTGGTGGCCTTGGGCTGTTTTCTGCTCTTTGGTCAGGTTTTTGTCTCTTTGACACATTCCCCATTTCCATTCTCAATTTTAAATCTCTTTCCAAACAGCAACTTAATTGATTAAACAATAAAATCTTAAAATTGTAAACAAAATATTGGCAATGAATACCATTACAATGTATCTGTTTGTTTGTTCAAACATTGTGGTGTCACTTTTTAGGCAAGAATTCATACCTTTTTACTACTTAATTTTTTTTATCATACAATCAACCTTTTAACTATACAAATACAGGTGTACAGATAACACGAAGCGATAAACACATACTGGACGTTTATAGTCTCCTGGTATCCTGAGTCTGTTGCAAGCGTATGGTTATGTTCAAATTACTGTTTATATCCCAGTTAAATTTGGGGCCATTTTGAAGTCAGCATTTAAATCATGTAGATTTCATTAAAAAAAAATTCAAAGATGAAAAAAAATATGTTTTATTGTTTAAATAAAAACAATATTTGTACAGTGTGAGACATCTTCACTAGCCAATTTGGGCAAAGAATTGTGACAGCAAAATTTGCCCTGAAGATAACTTTTTGTTACAAATAACTTATACCATGGAAGTATTATATTGACAGGAACTCCAACTAAAAATTAGCACATTCCCATCCCACTGATTTCTTTAAGAAAATAAAATGTTCCGACTCAGTTTGTCAAATACGTGATAACTCTTTTGTGGGGTATCTACGATGCCGCCCTTCGCCCGTTCTGTTAACTGAAGCTGGTCTTATCACGTGATTTGGTATCGAGGTGTCTTATCTACCTACCAATGTAAATAAACATGGAAACTCCTGTGGTTATTTGTGAATCACCACATGAATAACGACACCTGTTTCCGTTCAATAAATGTAGGCAAAAGCTAAAAAGATCTAGAAAATTGGTCCATATTTAACAGAATGACATAAGAAAATTAACTGCATTCGGAAAGAGGGCAAGATTATTTTTAGTTTTGTTTAATATGTTTTAATCATTGGAACTTGGAAATCGGGAAATATCCGATATTAAAAATTACATGTACCTGAAGTCGGGTGTTTGCAGAAAATAATGTGATGTGCGTGTAGTGTGTTAGATGGCGAAGGATAGCTCAAATTTAAGTTAAAGGTTGTAAATTTTTATCCAATGTTACAAGAATATTTATGGTTTTCTCTATTGTCTCAATGTAGAAAAATGTAATTAACATATTTATCAAATATATTTAAAGACTAAAAGAGGTTAAAAATTACACGCACGTGATGACCTATACATATAGCATGTATCAGGTTACGAGATAGATGAATTGTTACACCTTTTATAATAATTCCAAAGTTATAAACAACCTTAAACCTTCAACCTAGCTAGTCTGAGATTGCTCTGACATCTGACAAATTTTTTTTGGGAATGGCTTAACGTTAAATATTTCTGGATGCATTTTAAGAATGATCATCATGATGGGCCCTAAGCAATATAATATTTTTTTATTCTTAAAATTTTATCATGGGAACCAAATTTGAATTTATTTTTGTGTTAAAATGCTTAACAGTTCTGAAACATCTTACACCGTATGTTAATCAATTTATGTTTTTGTTTCTTGTTGAATTGCATGAAATATTTGCCATCAGAATTTCATCAAAGCACTTTAAACCCAGCCCCCCCCCCCCCCCCAGGCCGCTACTGGGAACCAACATTTGAATTAAATTTTTGTTGGAAATTCTTTCAGTAAACACTTAATTAAAACATTTGTCAAAGTTAGCAGTAAACATGGTAAACCTCAATAATAATTGCCGATAAAAACTTAAAATTTTCAGTTTACATTTTATAAGAATTTTATGATTTTCAAGCCTAGCATGTATACATGTATATATAACAGTGATGCATGTTTAGCCAACGGCCCTCTCATGAATAAACATCTTGCTATTTAAAATGATTGTAACTAAAACTGAAATGTGTATGGCTGTGAGTATTTTTAGTGGGTCTCAATGGGGTCCAAGTGTGACCCGGGATTGCCCATTTTTTGTAAGCGTGACACGTGAAAGTCAAATTATTGTGCCGTGAAAACGGGAAATGAAGTCTAGCGGGACACGGGAAATTACAAAAAAAATGAGAATTGCTTACTTACATAGTGTAAGCGGGATACGGGAATCTGACAAAACAGTAAGCGGGATCCGGGATCAGAACCCCCCAATGAGACCCCCTTGTTACTCTTCAGTTTTTTGTGAAAACAGTCGCGGGGATTTCGTTTTGTTTGTTTCTTTTTATTTGTTTTTACACAGCAAAACCCCGTCAAAAATGACATATTTCATGAAGTGACATGGTTGGTATATGTCATTTCCTTGACAATTAAGTATACATCTGGTTATTTCGGTATATTTCGTAATGACGATCAATCAAGAGGTTCCAAAATTGGCAAAAATTTCATATGACATGTCGAGATAATTAACAGATACTTAACAATTTTGCGGCATTGCACTTTAAACGTTTGATGTCGGTCTGTTGGAGTTCCTGTCAATATAATACTTCCATGCTTATACAGACCAGGAAGATCTAGAAGTTTATTATGGTAGCTTATATACAAAAATAGGTACAGAAATATACAAAAATAGGTACAGAAATAAACGAAAGAAACAGTTAATTCAAAGGAAAGAACCCTATATATGAGGAATCCATTTGTACCTGGAGACGCTGTGGTCTGTTCTGAACTACAACTGGCACCCATCACGGGTTTGCAAATGAATTGAACTAGAAATTAAATATATGGTGATAAAATAGGACCATCCTAGCCGCCATATTGTTTACAAGTTGTCAGTGTGTTCTAACGTACAAATCGACATCGGAATGGTCTTTTCCGGAATGTTTGAAATTACTCCAAAAAACTAACATTTTAATAAAAACAAACATTAAAAAACAATTAGAAAAATAAAACAAATGAAAAGACAAACAGACATAAAGCAAGCAAAGCATAAAAAACCGATGAGAAAGAAATAAAAAAAAAAAATTGAACGAAAAAAAAGACGAAAAGTATCCAAATGGATCAGTATTAGCAGGAACATATATATATTATATACTGTTCCCAGGTATTAGGTGTATTACAATGAATTTGACATGTAAAACCGTCCTTTGCAGTCGGAGATCAATAAGTTTCATAAAAACAAAACAAAACAAAAACAAAACAAAACAAAACAAAACAAAACAAAACAAAACAAAACAAAACAAAACAAAACAAAACAAAAATAAAAGATAATATCTTTAAGTAAAACCAAACACCATACACCCACATAACTTTTGAACACACACACACCGTGACACATATATATAATATGTATAGGTCTAATAGATTAACTGCTGACTATGCAGTATTGGTTTTGCTCATTGTTGAAGGCCCTACGGTGACCTACAGGTGTTAACTTTTAATTCAGTTGGTCTCTGGTGGAGAGTTGTCTCATTTGCAATCATACCACATCTTCTATTTTTTTTATAACCAAACAATGTCATAGTAATTTCCAACTTCAAAGTCATCTCAGTGTACACACAGGTTTGATTTAAAGTCATTTCACTACAGACGAACTTACAACATTTTTTTACATCTTTCGACGACCATGCGCCTAGCATGTAAAGACATAATTCTGTAACCACTACACTTGTTGATCCAATTCTCATTATATCATATATCAGATTTCAGAATGATAAGTTTATATTTTTCTTTGTATGTTGATATGCTTGTATGAATTTGTTAGTGTTTCGTAACCCTCTAAAAGCAGGCTGATACATAGAGAATATCTATGGCTTTTTCAATATCACACCTGTATCAACCTGAGACACCAATATAAATCCCAAGAGCTCTGTTGAGGGTTGATACGGTGTGTGATATTGAAAAGGCCATATCATATATATATATATATATATATGGTGCCTCTTGCAGTTGTGTCACTTTAAATAGTACTGACTCCTCTGCATCAGGCACGAGGATGACATACCAGTTATGTGCAACTTCTTACAATATCTTACCATATCATTAATCATGTTAATGTCCCGATACACATTTTTATATGCACCCACCATGCCATATAGCACCGTCCCTTGGTGCCTCCTGCATTTAAGCTAGATATATTTAGCCTACTCACAGAATTCTTTTTTTTTTTGTTACTTTCTAGAGGTGTGCCTGAGACGAAGGTTTTTATATATACTCCTATATATGTACGAATATGTGAAAACTGTTGTTTCTTATTTGTGTTTGTAACTATATATACTGTATTGTTCATTATATTTGTAAAAAAATAATATTATCATGATATTATATTATGCTCCTTGTGAGCCCATTTGATGGAAATAAAGCATCTTCTTCTTCTTCTTCTTCTTCTTCTTCTTCTTCTTCTTCTTCTTCTTCATATACACTTTATTATATACATGTACCTCAAGTAGAGCTAAACTCTCTTATGTATTTTTCACGAGACATGACGTAATACATATTAGGGATTTGATCAAGATTTTGTAACCGTGACTGATATCGATAACGTGACGTCAAACATATTAGGGGTTTGATATAAAGCCTTTGCAACCATGGCTGATATCGATATCAACACGGATGACTGATACAGCAAGATTGTCATCAATTTTATTACATTTACCTATATTTCCTACTAAGTATATAATAAATTATCTCATTATATGACGATAAAAATTCTCTTTTCTCATTGGTTAAAACGTAGGGAATCTTCTTTGATAAAACGTTATATTCACTGCGGGAAAAATCACGAGAGGTTGATATAAGATTTGGAACAGCTGATAATACATCTAATATGAAAAATGACATGTTATGATCTTTTTATCATATGCTTCAACAATGGAGAAAAATAACAGTTTAATATAGTGACCCTTTTAAGTGGTTCTCAAGTAGAAGTTCAAAAAGTGAAAAGTTTACGGACGACGGACGCCAAATGTAATACATCCGATATGAAATCTTTCTAGCTTTCATATGCCTCAACAGAGGAGAAAAACAACAGTATAATATATTTTTATATTGACGATAAAAAAAAATCAACTAAACATAATGAACACTGTTTGGAAAAGTCAACATTTGTAAAGTAACTTGCTAAATTATGCTGGAAAGTTTGAAAAATGCATTTATTGTATCATTTGTTTTGCATTTTACATAATATATTTTCCTGTTTCCTAATATTTGTTTTGTACCCTACTTTTATTATGTTTTTCACTGAAAACGTACCACTGAGGTGTATTTTCTTGAGATAAGAATAAAAATAAATTTATAATAAATCAAAACAACCAGAACCATGCTCGTACGAATTTTGTAATCCACATATTAAATAGCTTGTTAACTTTATTTTCGCACTCAAACATTAAAATTTACATTTTCAATTGATATCGTTACGTGGAACGATAACTTTGAAAGGTACATGTAAGAACGTAATACAATAAATATCTGGTGGGAAAAGGCACTGATCTCTATGATGAAGGTATAACAGACAGACAAACAGATACTAGTGAAACAATACTGAATACATTTAATACCGTATCAAAAAATGCTCGTAGCAAGTGATTTATTTTATGACGTGGAAGCGTGCTCGACTCGATTCCGGGAGTTCATATCATGGGTTCGAACCGGCAGGGTCAAACCAAAGACTATAAAATTAGCATATGCTGCTTTTCCGCTAAGCATGCGGCGTTAAGGAGTAAGAGCAAAAACTGGTCGTCAGAATAATGTGTCCAGGTAGGGTGACATGTCTTCCTGCGGACTGTTACTGTGAACTTTAAAATCCGACTCAGCGTGTCGGTCTAGCACAAAGCAAGGTTTATATTCATATAACATAAGCATGTCTCGTCCTGAATATGCATTTATTTTGAAAATGGACGTTAAACAACCATATTTTATTTTCGACTTATGAGTTTGAATGTCCCTTTGGTATCTGTCATCTCTCTCATACTTCTATGGTCGGGTTGTTGTCTCTTTGACACATTCCCCATTTCCATTCTCAATTTTATCATCATCTATATGACATTTTTGTTATTGTCAATGCAATGAAACGTGAAGTTTGAAATGAAAGATGGGACCATGGTTTAAGTGTATACATTGTTCTTTCAAAGTGATTAATATCAAGATTAAAAAAAAAGGGAAAATAACACAAATCTAGAAATAGTTAAATATTTGCAAATAACTTTTTATTGAGATCTTCTTTGTGACATTTTCCTTTGACAAATATGCCATTTTAGTATTCTTCACGGCTGTCAATTATTCAGCTAATTTGTTTAAGTTATCCCTTTAACTAAGTGTCGAAGATCTGACACTCAATATGCTAAGGCTGTCTGAACTTAATCTATGACACTTTCTGGCTCTAATTTGAAATAAAGTAAATAAGGTATATAAATATGATATGGCAAAGATATGTTATCAATTGATTTTAATCAGTTGTTTTCAAAATAGAAGGGTTGAATTCACTATAAAAATTGAACTATAAAAACATCCCGATGTAAAATACTGGGTCATAATCCCAGTATATACATCACTGAAGAGACATTAATTTTCGAAATCCGGATATGGTGTACAAAAAATCTTTGCACCTTTGTTTTGCGGTATACCATCTTTGCCGCAAGTTTATTGTTTTCTGTTTGGTATTGAATTTATAGTTAAGATCCATTTATTACACATTGTGATCCGTTTATTTGGCAATCGCCAATGGCAGTCAGCAGGGTTTAAGAACATTTGTTGTTCGACCTGTTAGTCAAATGCGTTTTGTTAAAATATACTTTTTCACTTTTTTGGTCTTTTGGAAAATGTTGTTTGTGCTGTATTTAGACCCCTCTAACAAGAAATTTGTTTTGCATGCACACGTATAAAAATTGCAGTTTTTATCCAACGCAATCAAAGGTTTGAACGTTGTTTTCAATTAAGACTTATTTCTAGATTTTGCTATTGTATATAAAAATAAGAAGTGGTATGATTGCCAATGAGACCAAATGCTCCGAAATGACATTAGTAAAACAATATTAACGAGAAACCTGATCCATGTACAAAACAATAAACGAAAAACAAATATGATATAAAGCAACAAACAACAACCACTGAATTACAGGCTCTTAACTTTGGACATACACATACAGAATGAGGCAGGGTTAAATATTTTGGACCAGTGATGTAACAGCACAACATAAGAACAAACTATAAAAATCAGTTGAAAAGTCTTCACTTATCAGATCGATACAGAGCACAAAATCAAATAACAAAAACACTTAAGACAGAAAGTACAGATCTGAAAGTACTCGCAGTTACTGAAAGCTAGTTCAAAGCTAACTATGTATCTAAGACTAAAATATCCATCAATGCACAGTACAATAGTCTTTGTCGACGGTTATAAATTAAAGCAGATCCCTAAACATGCAAGTCTAGTCAGTTAGTATGCTAAAATCTTCATGACAATAGTTACTAGCCGTAAACTATCGTTTTACCAAAAAAAATTAAAACAATCAATAACATTTCGAGGTTCCCTTTTTTGGAAAATTCTTTGTCCGCAACTTAAATTGGTCACAGCTAAATTTAGACTTATGTTTTTATAAAAATGAACCATCATGTAAACACCATAACATATCATTTCAGCCAAATGAACAAAAACAAAAATCTCAATGTCGGAAAGTAATTGAAACAACAACAAAAAACTGTGACCATTTAAATAATACTTGTGTAACCGGGAGACTGGCTACTTGAATGTAGATGATAACGAGCTGCAACCCACGACCGGTTGCAGACGTTGGCGATTCCAACGTTAGACAATGACTAGGATCTAGCCACTTTCTTGAGAATACTCGCGTAAACTCCACTTGTAGAATTAGACACAAGTCCTATGCAGTAGTTAACAATTTAATGATTTCAGGATGGAATACATACATTTTGTTTTACAAATTGAGCGGATGTTGTCAGTACGAATGCCTGACTCTCACTGAAGTAAGAACTTCCGAAAGCATATTTAAATCAAGAATTTACATGGTTACAATAATAGAAACGAGATTACCGAATGACAATGAAATAATACAATTAGCACTTAAAGGACTAACAAAAGAATATAACAAAAATATGTTGCTTGAGCTTTAGGCTGAATAAGTTAATTGAAAAGACTATAGGAATAATTATTCTTTACATAAGAAAACTTAAGAATTATGTAAAGCTGTGAATTTACCTATTATTTATCAAAAGTATTGTCTTGAAAGAAATTTCCGACTTTGTGAAAATATATATACTGACATGTTACTTATAACACAAAAAGTTCTATACAGAAAAATAGTTACATCATAACCACTTTGACGGACAAATATTGCAAATAAAATGATTTCGATAAAATAATGAATAGTTTAACAACATAAATGACAATTTTTGACCGAGCTTTTTGTCAGTGAAAGTTCAAAAGTATAAGATTTATGAAGAATTCACCTTTTAAATAGTTCCAAATGATGATGCACAATTTACATAAATTATCGCTATATCACACTTGATTCCAAAAAGGAGTTTAAAAAGTTTCTTAATCTTTAATGTTGTAACATATCTGATAGCAAATTTAAGAAATACATTCACACAACAATTAGTAAATTAATGTAATACCTAGCAGTTGATGTCTAAATTTAACTGTGACCAATTTAAGTCATGGACAAGGACTTTTATTCCGTATATTCCACACGTAATCGTGTTTGTAACATTTAGTCAGAGTAGGATTGGCTTCAAATCATTGCAGCAGATTATTGATTTGGTTTAACAAGAAACTGACAATTAACTTCAACGACATTAACATTGAAGATGTGCTGTAACATTTATATAACAAATGTGTATTCCGGTGATATAAAGATATTAATCATGGGGCTTAATTCAGGAATGTAAAACACAGACGGCTTTCATTTATGTTCACATAATTTTCTGTCGCATACATTTATGAAATCTATGTAACATTTGATTTGTTTATGCATCAACAATAATAGGAAACTACCTAATTTGTTCACTTTTGATAATGCCTTATTTTTTTTTGTAAGAGGGAGAATTTGATTAGGGATAAACATGACATATTGAAGACTCAGCAAGACAAGTTCAAAAAATAAAACAAAGATTCTTTTTCATGAACAACTCACACAATTTTTCGTATACTAATACACAATTTGACGCCTACTTTACTGTTCTGTACTCTCTTGCAAACACAAACCACTGATTTGCTGCAATATTTGGAAGACAATTCTATTCTTAATTTATTTGTATAGTTGTTTTTAATAAAGATTGATGTATTATATGTGCACGTTACAGTAAGTAAAAGTATGGAACCTCCATAACACGTACGGTTAAGACCATGAGATGAAGAACAGCAATATAGGGGATATTCCCTTGATTTATGTTTTTTCGTGCACACAAGGTAATTTTGTGTTTTAAATTGATACGCCATAGTCCTTCTTTTCTCTTATAACATATGCATATGCGTATGTGGGAAAATAACCCAAACATCTTAATGATGCCAGGATTGACGACATGCATATCGTACTCACAAGAAGCACTCAATTGAAGATCATTTATCATCTATATTTATACCGCAACCACATATCCTTAATTCGAAATTCCTACCTGTGTTGAATAAATTATTTCCTTATTTGATAGGTGTTCTTTTCATTTTTGATTGATTGATTTATTTATAATGTTCACTTTTTTCTTTATTTCTCAACAAACCATATACAGTGGAATGGTACAGAGAACACAATATTAGTAACAAATCAACATATATGAGACAAGAATGAAAGTCAGTTCATATAATTTTGGTTGCATGTAAGTCAGTTTTCCGGGTGTTTTTGTAATCAGATCCAGATTTTACATACCCACCGTTACAAACTTTTCATCAATTACTCCAAGGGATTCGGATCCTTCCGCATGCAGATCTACTGTATCAATAGCCTTTCAACACTGAGGTTGTGAGTTCGAACCCTTCCACGGCAGGTACGTTCGACTCCAATTTAAATTGACTAGGATTACCAGTTTTCCTGCCGAATGTCGGTGGTTCTCTAGGGGCACTCCGGCTTCCTCCATCATTTAAAACAAACACCCACGATAAAGCCAATAGGGCTGAAAAAGGCGTTAACATACCAACAAATAATCAATCTAAATATATCCAGGTTTGTCTTTTTTATATATATATACATTAAATTACCCAAAATGTTAAATTTGTAAAACAAGCACACGGAACAGTCATGATACCAACGGAACAAGGCAAAATCACATAAGAATTCAAAAGAATCTAATAGGCATGTCAAATAATATCCAAAGAAGGGCACATTGTTTTCAGCCAGAGGGTTTTTTCGAAAATCATAATTTAGGAGAGGCATTAAAAACAAGAGGCTCTCAAGAGCCTGAATCGCTCACCTGTATTTCAGAGGAGAAGATTTTTAAATGTTAGCAAACTTGAAGAACAAATTGTGTAAAATTGTCTTTAAAGGGCAATAACTCCTTAAGGGGTCAATTGACAATTTTGGTCATATTAACATTTTGTAGATCTTACTTTGCTGAACATTATTGCTGCTTACAGTTTATATATATCTATAATAATATTCAAAATAATAACAAAAAACTGCAAAATTTTGTTAAAACTACCATTCCGGTGGCAGCAACCCAACAATGGGTTGTTCGATTCGTCTGATAATTTCAGGGCTGATAGATCTTGACCAATTAAACAATTTTATCCCATGTCACATTTGCTCTAAAAGATTTAGTTTTTGAGATATAAGCCAAAAACTGCATTTGACCCTTATGTTCTAGTTTTAGCCATGGCAGCCATGTTTGTCAATGGATACAAACTTCGGATACAATTTATAAACAAGATACCCTAAGGAACATTTAGTTAAAGTTTGAAGGTAATTGGCCCAGTAGTTTCAGAGGAGAAGATTTTTAAATGTTAGCAAACTTGATGAACAAATTGTGTAAAATTGTCTTTAAAAGGGCAATAACTCCTTAAGGGGTCAATTGACAATAATGGTCATATTAATTGTTTTGTAGATCTTACTTTGCTGAACATTATTGCTGCTTACATTTTATATATATCTATAATAATATTCCAAAAATAACAAAAAACTGCAAAATTTTGTTAAAACTACCAATTCGGTGGCAGCAACCCAACAATGGGTTGTTCGATTCGTCCGAAAATTTCAGAGCTGATAGATCTTGACCAATTGAACAATTTTACCTCATGTCAGATTTGCTCTAAAAGCTTTAGTTTTTGAGATATAAGCCAAAAACTGCATTTGACCCCTATGTTCTATTTTTAGCCATGGCGGCCATGTTTGTCGATGGATCAAAACTTCGGATATAATTTATAAACTAGATACCCTAAGGAACATTTAGTTAAAGTTTGAAGGTATTTGGCCCAGTAGTTTCAGAGGAGAAGATTTTTGAAATAGTTTACGACGACAGACGGACGACAGACGACGACGACAGACGACGACGACAGACGACGGACGACGACGGACGCCAAGTGATGGGATAAGCTCACATGGGTGAGCTAATAAGGATGAGAAAATACATGGAGTTTCAGGCATAAGAACACGTATTAAGCGTAACAAGTGTTTTGTGCAGATTTGCGTTTGGGTGAATGAAACAACATCTATATTGCTATTTAATGAATGAAAATTTAACATGACAATACGAACATTGCATTTAACGTGTGTGAGGAAAGTTTTGTGTTAAATCTGCTTCCACGTCAGACACTATTTCTACATCCTTCCAACGTTTAAATCGCATTTCTAACTTGGTTTTCTCGGTTATTCTATAAAAATCCTTACACGCTAACAGACTTTTGAATCTCCGTTTTGCAGCTACCATGACACATGTTTTCAAATATTCCATTAAATTATACTTTTCAGCCTCAAGAATTTTTTTGACAATTTCTGAAGATGACAAATTATCACCAATTTGTTGAATTTCCTCTGCAAGAAAGTCGTCAGCGCGTTTCAATGTATTTTTTGCCTGGTATTCAAACGCCATTGGAAGAATCCGGTGAACGTTTTCACCTGAAATAAATATATTGTCATACTCTTTAATCATCATTGATATGATAAGCCATTTTTGTATTTCACAAGTTACTGGTTTATTTTATAGAACATCGGAGTAAAATTAGACTGCAATATTTTAAGTATTTGCACGTCTAACGTACGTGCTTTAATTACGCTATATTCATTTTAGTATGCATATTTCTAAAGTGCAATAGATTTATATTACTTGAACTCTTCAAGATTTAATTGTAAACTACATGTTTATTGAAACAGCTGGGATAATACATGCAGATATTGTATCACCCAAGTAGAATTTCAGAAAACAGAATAAGCTATTCCTGGATACGGTTTTCAAGCTAAATCTGTAATTAAGTTGTACAGTACTTTAATTTATCACGAACGAAAATAAATGGGAAGATAATGCATGATATGACATATTCGTGGTCGCTTATAAAAAAGCTACTCGAAACAGTAGTCTAATGTAATATAATGTTCTAAGTAACAGCAGCAATAAACTGTCCAGGATAGTCAGAGAGAAAACCCAGTCTGATAACAATTCGGACCTATCTTGATTCGTTCACTGTTCTAGGTATGGAGAAATCAAAGTTGTAATTTGAATCGGATTGCTCTCAATCTGTTTCCATAGTCATGTACCTATCCCTAGATATAGGTGTTGATGGTCAATAAGTATGTACGGCATTCGTTTTTCAACATCAACGGATGTATATGATTCAGAACGTTTCTGAAAGCTTTGTCTTATTTGGATAACAAGGAGTCAGTCACACATAAAGGACGACTTTTTTAAAACAAGTAAATCATACCATTTATACATGTACACATAGGCATATCTTAACTGCTGTTTCAGTTTTAAGTGTGCATACAAAACATACCATCAATTACAAGTATATGTTCTATAGTGCTAATACTTACTATTCATGGGTTCGAGTACACCAGGCATAGTACATCTAAGAAAATTGACAACATCTTTGCGTCTTTTCCCTTTTATAACTATCTGCTGTTCTCGTTTTCCAAATACAGTTTTACTTAGCCGTTCGAATACAGGAGATTGTGCGAAAAGTTCCTTTTTATCAACAAGCAATGAATTACCCTCCACAACCAAGCATACTTCCGGTATTTCTGCACGCGCAGCTTGCCTTTTCATCCATGTCTCAGTAATGTCATGCTTTGACATTTGATTTGTAATTTTTGCCCAAGCTGAAAAATACAATATACCAAAATGCATGTTAAACTTTTGTCTCATATAAAAAAGGGGTACATAGCAATGTGGGTATACGCCAGTAAGACAGCAGCCCTACGACACAAAAACTAAAAGACATCTAGATGTCAACATACAATATATACAAACTCGAGGTTAATTTATAAATGAAGACCTTCAATGTGTTCAATAATGTTATAAAAAAATCTTCTTCTGAGAAATTCATAAATAAAATGTCTCCAAGTCTAAATCCTGGCCGTCAGCTAGGGTCCTATATCTTTCCAAGAATGCCTATTTTCAAATGAGAGTATCACGGCCTCGCATGGATTTCTAACAGGTTGACAATTCTTAAATTAAATAGATTTTGTCTTTGAACTAGTTAAGAACATTTCTGAATAGCTAGGTAAATTCAGGAAAGCGCTTCGGACGCAACAATATTAAAATTGTTAATCAATTTTCTAGTACTCGGTCGATACCACTGCTAGTGTACTCACAGTCCCCGAGATTATCGCCAGCTCAGTAGTCAGCGTTTCGATACTGACATGATTTATTTCTTAAATTCCCCGTTGACAAATTTAGAAATTATAATTAAGAAACCAAGGTTTCAACTCCCTCCGGCAAAGATGACCTTAGATGTGTTTGGCTTGAAATGTTTAGGTCCGTATTTGTGATACAGCTCTCTAGTTTTTATGTACTTATACGTCATTGGCTTTCAAATTTTTAGGTTTGAGCATTCTGAAAAAAAGGTAAAGCAAGAAAAACGTTTCAAACGCACCAAATTTATAGTGTTAATTTCGTTGACTATCTTTTTATTAACATTTATTTTTTTGAAAAATAAGAAAAAAAGAGGAAAAGGGTGACAGGTGTAATTTTTAATATTAAATAACTTCACTTACCTGGAAATGCAAGGTGTCAATATATATATTGCGTGTGCAATTATTATTGTCATATTTCCATGAATATAACAATTTAAAATATATTCTATATAAATAATCACAAAACCTACAGAATGATATGAGAATATTTGTTAATTTTAATTTAGACCACAGTTTTTCGTCTATGTTTGTACTTTTCGAGACTGTTTGTCATGATTGTTTTATCTTGTATGTTACGTTTACACACACTTCAAGTGATACAATAAGTCATGCTATCTTATATACATATCATATTTGGAATAAACTTAAAAAGAATATATAATATATAAAATTTTTGTCATACCTGTTTGTAGTATGGGTGTTGATCAATTCCGTAAACTTATTAAAATTACCAATAACTATACAAGCTACTTGACAAAAATGTCAAAAATGATTTATTTCTTTTATAGGATTAAAAGATATTGAATTTTTACTGAAAATGTCAATTTCAAAGTTTTATTGATTGGGGAAATGAAAACAATTACTGAAGCCTATCCATGGATAAGTATTCCATGTAATTATAATCCTTAGAAGGAATATTGATACGTGTTTGAATAATTTATCATTCATTGTTATTGAAAGGATTACGGTTTGAAAGGAAATCAAAGCAAGCAATACAAGTAACAGGTACAACAAATGTATGCCGCTGGTAATTATATAATCTTGTAAAAGGAAGTAAAGGGTTGTTGATGTCTTTTTACTTGACGAAAATCAATACTTGCTAGTAAAATTATCAGGCTAATTCTGAAAAGTTGAAAGCAATATTGCTACATTGAATGAACAACTCATAGATATGTAATAAAAAGATATGGTGTAAAAATTGCTCAGACAGCAACTCAACAACACACACATCTTAAAAGATAACATTACAGGCACATTGAGAGAACAACAGCTGAAAACGTGATGGTAAAGTTACCTTGAGAGAACGACGACTTTTAAAAACGTAACGGTAAAGTCACCTTGAGAGAACGACGACTGATAAAGTGACAGTGAAGTCACCTTGAGAGAACGACGACTGATAAAGTGACGGTGAAGTCACCTTGAGAGAACGACGACTGATAAAGTGACGGTGGTGTCACCTTGAGAGAACGACGACTGAAAACGTGACGGTGGTGTCACCTTGAGAGAACGACGACTGAAAACGTGACGGTGATGTCACCTAGAGAGAACGACGACTGAAAACGTGACGGTGGTGTCACCTTGAGAGAACGACGACTGAAAACGTGACGGTGATGTCACCTAGAGAGAACGACGACTGAAAACGTAACGGTGGTGTCACCTTGAGAGAACGACGACTGAAAACGTGACGGTGGTGTCACCTTGAGAGAACGACGACTGAAAACGTGACGGTGATGTCACCTAGAGAGAACGACGACTGAAAACGTGACGGTGGTGTCACCTTGAGAGAACGACGACTGAAAACGTGACGGTGGTGTCACCTTGAGAGAACGACAACTGAAAACATCAAGATAATCATCGGGAGAAACTATAGCTGAAAAAGTTAGAGTAGAGTCACCTTGTAAAAAGTGTAATTGAAAACATGATTGAGAGAAGTATCACTGAAAACGTTACAGTAGAGTCACCTCGAAGAGAACTATAGCTGAAAACTTGAGGGTATAGACACATTCAACTAAAGCGGAACACGTAAAGCTGTGTCACCTTTTTTGTACAAACGACAAGGTACAGTCACCTCGAGAAAAACTATATCTGAAAACGTTTTAGGTACAGCCACCTTGAGAAAATTACAGTCAAAACGGAAATTAACAGTCCCCTGCATTGAGAGAAATCGTTACAATTGATTATCTGAAAGTGAGAGGTTTAGCTAGCTATAAAACAAGGTTTAACCACCATTTACTTCGTCAAATGCCTGTACCAAGTCAGGAATAGGACAGTTGTTTTCCATTCGTTCCGTTGGTTAATATAGTTATGAACGTTTGATTTTGAAGGGTTTTATGGACTTCTCCTCTATCTAATTTATCTTGGAGTTCGGTATTGCTGTTAAAACGGTTTTTATAATTCTAAGACAAGAGTATTAACATCTTTCATTTGTGGACAGTCTTCAACTTAAAAGTACAGTCGTATTTGAAAGAAAAAAAATCTGTACCTGCTGAAAATTAGTACTGGAGAGCAAGCATACACTATAAGTAAAAAATAAACAGATACATAAACAAACGAATAATATGTAAAATGGATAAATTGTCTTGTGATTAAAACAAACTTGTAGAAAACATACAATAGCTAATTATTATATACAATTGCCACCTACTTGCACGTTTGTCAGCCATTTCCAGATTTTTGACTGTTGAGGCTTTGTACTTCAAAAGTCATAACTTAAACTGATCAGCTTTTCCGATTTACAACTTTTATATTACATATATGTCTATGTTTGTATTCAATACAAATGACAATTGATTATGAGGAAATATTTGTAAAAGTTATTATCCTCAGACAAGAATTAAACCTTTCATTTAAAAAGAATTTATGACTGCTAACTTACATTAATAACATGACAACAATAGTCTATTCTATCTGTTTACAAACTGGTTCATTCGCTAATTTATCTTGAATAAAAGAGAAACCAATGTAGGCCTAATCTATTTCACACTATTAAAAACATAAATAAGCTACTATAAATTAATAAAACGAAATGTATACAATCCATTATTTTTTTAATTTCCTAATATTTTATTGACGTGTTGTTTTGATTGCCCCATTTCTTTCATACATTTCAAGTAGAATACCAGTCCATTTAAGAATCGTGCAAATCTAATTAAGACCAATTAGGTGGAAAGAATTAACATAAAATTTTGATATCTTAGGCCAAAGTTTAGCTTTTCTTATGTTTTGAGTCCTCTCGTTGGCAGTTTGAGTTCTATTCGTGTGAGTTTTTATACATAAAAAAATTGTAGACATCTTAAAATAAATTAAATCTACATTTGAACTTAAGTCAGATGAATGTACTAAATCATTATTTGGTTCAAAATTAATAAAAATGAAATATACATATATCGATGTGTAGTTTCCTAGGTAAAAGTTCTGAACGCGAATAATATTGATGTTACAAATTGAACTCAAACGGTATGGTGCAGCTTGAGGTTTTTAATTTTTATGTGTGTTTCACTCTTAATTTCTGGTTAGTACGTTTTGAAAAATTGACGTGACACGAGAAAAAAGAAAAAGAAGACAATTCCTTATAATAAAAATATATGCACATATACCAGGAGAGATATGATTTCTATAGAAAGCACCATAAACCTCACGATGTGTGATATCACTTGAAATATCCTTGATAGTTCATTGTAAAATGTTTCCCATTTATTTGTCCTGGTAATATAATGGAAACAAATATTAATTAATTTCATCTATACCAATACTGCAACTGATTTACAAAATAATCTTGTGTAGCCGATCTTTAGACGTAACACAACATTTCGATGTCGGTCCGACTGGATAAAATCAAGAAGGAATAGTTTTCGCTCCTGAAACTTTTTTTTAGCAGTCCAACAAGACCGGACAACGAACTCAAACAAAACGTACAGTAATATATTAATAATACCAATATTCAAATTTAAAGCACAAGTGATTAAAGAATTAAGAAGATTAACAGATGCCAATAGATATATTAATTATAGATTAAAAGAGTAGTAAGGGTTCAATGCAGGTTATGACACATATTTATAAATTATTGTCAAAACTGTCAAAGAGGATAACTAATAAAATAAATAGAATTAAAATCCAGTCTTTTGTCAAAGATAATTAATTCATGTAAAACACAAATGTCTGAAATTACGACAAAATCCGAAATAATAAAAAAAAAACTGCCAAATATGAAAATGGAGTAAAACAATAAAAATAATGAAATGTTGTTAAAAACTAATTTCAAAAATTCCGATCAAAGATATATACGAATATTTAATTTGATCTAAAGGCATTATACAATTCATAGGCGTTAAAACTTTACCCCCATATATACAATTCATTTTATTCACAAATACAGAAAGCTAGTTCTTAGTCTTAGTTTTATTATAGTAAGATAATTAACAATCAACGTTTTTTTCTATATTCGTACATCATTTAAATAACGT